GGGGGGGGGTTTGCTGTGGGGAGGTGGCGGCGGTGGAGAAGTGATAAGGTATATTTTGGGTCCACGCCGCGTCATAAGTGATGCCACGTAGCGCTACAGCCAGGAGCACCCCCATGCGTCAAGCCAGAGATCGTATCAAGGCATGGCTCGATACGTCCCGTCCCAGAAAGCTCGGGACGACACCGTATGGTGCCATTCCGCGCATCCCGGAGCGGCGGCCGCACAAAGGTATCGCCTCATCTCCCGAGGATCGGTCGCTACGCCCGCATACGACCGACCCTCATACAGTAGCATAAAAGCACCTGGCCAGTATCCGGCCAGGGCGAAAAAGAAAAACTCCAACCCGCCACTGACTTGATCGTTGGAGGGACCAAAGTCGGGAAACATCCGACGACGGTCTTTTTTGCAGGAAAGCTATCATCGCAGGCTAGAAGGCGTTGATCAGACCCCCACTGCCAATGGTCAAAGTGGTGTTCGATCGATCTCGAAACCTAGCTAAACCAACCAGAGACTCCCGACAGTACCTTGTGGACCAGGCCGTGCTGACTCTATCAGCCACGGCGAATCAATCCATCAACAGATACCACCAGGCTGCATTTTCTTGAAGATAAAGCTTGCCGCAAACGATCTCGTGAAGCATGTCCACCATCAGACTGCATTTGTTCTTGGAAGCTCGCAAGTAATTAATTATCTTCTTCTCTTCCCTACGATTTGGAGATGTCCGTTTATATGGCTTCTCTCCTATTAAATTGCACGGTGAGATAAAGCCCAAGGTGGTGGACTTGAATGGCTGATGAATAAGAAAAAAAAAAATGATATACACAATTTTTAGTCAGACTTGGGAGTTGGATCTGTCCGTCATATCTTTGGCGGTCTTAGGTTGTACGAGTAGCATGAAAGAAATCTTTTAACATAAATTCTGGGAAAGATTTACCAAACTCAGTGGTCCTGTTTTGGAAGCCATGGTTGATGAAAGCTTCGGAACGACGACCTTCGTCTTTTTTATGTTTGGCCCCGGGAGCCTCTCCGCAACAGTTTCATCACCATGGGCTGTCTGGCAACTGCACGAGGCAACCGCCGACAAGGGCGGGCCCTCCGGGGAACTCTGGTGACGACGGCCGATCGAAGAAGGTGTCGCCACCGCCATGCGGACCTGTCCGCCCTCGACCCGCGCACGCACGTCGTCATGCGACCAAAGACTCGAGTCACTCTCATGCATCCGCCATTAATTAGTGCAGACTCAGCGTGCACGCATGGCAAGCGCAGTGGCGAAGCAACGGAGGACGAGGATCTTCAAAGGCACGACCCGTTGAACGTACCGCAGGACACGATTGTTGCCCTACACAGGGGCCCTCCCATCCTCTTCAAGGACCTGCCATGCACGCGTGCTTTGGCCGCGGAGTTATTTAAGGACCCCGGTAAGACACTCAGAAGAATACGAAGGCCACTGTCCTAACGACGTAGGGTCGTCGTTGTCCCATGCATGTAAAGGAGAGGAGAGCTCCACCCACCTCCCATCCCTCTAGGTAAAGTTGCTCTTCCCCGTGGCGGCTCCACGCATCCATATATAGCTTCGCTCTCGATTTCCCTTCACCATAAGACGACGACAGTATGTGTTCCACTCCCTTCCTTTTGTCCTAAACGCTCCTCCGGTTGACTCGAGAAACAGATAGCTATCAGGTGATCTCCTTGGCTGCACTCCAAACACACTGCAAGCCAATGTAAGGAGGAAAGATCCCGACTCGTCGCCCATTAATATTATGGAGAACGAGTACTTCATGCAACCATGCTGAATAAATGTAGTTTGTGGTGGTGGTCATCGTCGGATGCATTTGTTTACACGGTCTACGCGGAGAGAGTGATGAATGTCATCATGGACATGCACTCGATCAATCATTCTGTGGCCAAAAAGGTTTCACTCTATCACTTCTACCCGAGTTATTGTCGGTAGGGGAACAGCTCCGGCGATCATGACCACTGGGGATGGGATTTGGTGATCGCTATTAATGTAGAAGCTGTCTACGAGCTTAATGGACCACTCGAGGGAATTGATGGACCTTCTTCCGCACACTTTCATCAAGGTGGATCATCATATCTGTCAATCGCATCTGCACCCACACGTACCGAGTTCAAAGAGGTGATTCAAGTAATAATAACACATTTATTCGGATAAAACTAATTTACGTTCTTCTCTGATCTATGTATCAAATCTATAACATTACAATAAGATCACTGATACATATATTGGCGTAGAGATACGGCGAGGGGATCGGAGGAGGGTTATTTTTTGGGAGATGACGAAAGCGCAGGGTGGCTTTCAATCAATTCCGAATCCGCTACTCCTTGGGCCGCTCGCGTTTTACGCGAGACCCCCGATTCCTCGTCGGAGAGCGACGCCCCACCGGGGAGTGGGCCGCGCCGCTGAACGTGCGCGCGGTCCCGCCGCGCCTCTGTCGGTCCCCCCCCTCCCCACTTCCCTGTCGATGGCGGCCGTCCGTCGTCGGCTAAAGGGTCCACCCGGCTCCGCCAGCGTCGCCGTCGTCGCCCACCACCTCCCCGGCGCTCGTTCCCTCCGGAGAATCCTTTCATTTATTTTGTATGCAAGGTAAAAACCATGTGCCATGCATATCCATTATACATATATACATATATATACGCATAATATTATGATCTTCTTTCTCTTAAGGACTTTATATTTACGTGGGGTTTTGTTAAATCATGTTTAGAAAATATTTATTTGATTTGGCACGAACGATTTGTGAGCTTAAGGCCAATGATAGCCTGTATGGAACCCGCTCACTTCGCTTAATAATACCATAGATTTGAGGTTGACCCCTTTTATCGTCTCGTCGAAAAAGACGCATGAGCGTGATTGATGCCAACGGATCAGCAGAGGAGATGCGAGATGAGGCTTCTGTGGTTGCTTGCTGTTCCACCAAGCAAAGCAAAGCCGAGTAGGGTTTAACCAGTGATCAAAGCGAGGATAAGAAGTTGCACTGGAGCGTCATCATCCCGAACCCATCATTACACAACCTCCAAATCCCCTCACCAGCCTTCGGAGAGGACAGCTAAGTTGACAGGAAATGACAACTGCCTCGTTCGTTGATGATGCTTTGTTTAGCTCCTGATCCAGCTGTTTATGTGGTTTGTATTAAAGTATTTGACAGGCACAGTGTGCCAATGACTCATCTTCTACCAAACATATATCCTTTAGTCGATTACGACACATCCTAGGCATCTCACGGTTCTCTTTGGGGAGGATTAGCTCGAGTCACGGTGGAACGGAGGAGAACGAAGAGAGAGAAGCCAAAAGGTGTTTAGCTTTTGATCCAAGATAGAGACCGTCACACTAAAAGAGAAGACAGAGAGGAGTCAGAAAGGCTCAAACATGCGTGAGTGGGCTCGAGTGCTGCCCCTCCTTTTGGTCAGTGGACGGTGAGTGATTTCAGTGTCTTATCGTCGCACCCGAAGAACCATTTTTTCACGAGAACAGAGCAGGGATTAAGATTCCATGCTTCGTCTCTCTTTCCAGATCCAAGCTTACCGACATGGTGCATTATTGTGAGCAGTATGCGTCTCACCGGAGGCGATGGTAGACCACGAGGTGATATTTTGCGCAGCGGAGACTGATGGAGAGAGACATCTGCAGGAGGAGTTCCCACCACCGCAACAGCCGTCCCGGATGGACCACCGTTTTCCGAGGTTTGTGTTGAAGCAACTTTAATGGTCCTTAACTTCCTCCTCCACAAATTTCTCTCCATAAAGCAATAGGGTGACGCCTCTCATCTGGTGTTTATAAGCATGCAGATCAAACCTTTGTTCGAAAATGTATCAGAACCAAAATTCTAATTCGACTCATTGGGGCACTCACATTCAAGAGAGAGAGAGAGAGAGAGAGAGAGAGAGAGTCTTATGTCTATATCTATAGATTAATATGTGATGTCTTATCCGATAACTAATCTTTTAGATACGGTGACGCTGTTTAAAGTAGAATTAATGCGCGTAAGATTCTCATCCGAAGGCTTCCCACGTAACTTAAAACAGGGCTATTTTTCTTCTGGGCCGGCCCATGTGCTTGCACATGGTTATTAAATAATTTATGGTTGTCTGATCTATTTGATGAAGTGAGTGTTTTATATCATTTGCCATTCCATCTAAAAATTAACCTAACATGCGTTAATCGTATTTACTTAATTTAGAGTTGTTCTTTTATCTGGATTATTGCAAAATGAAGCACCATAGCAAAGCATAAATATCCTGATGAGTAAATGTAAAAAAATATATATTTCTTTTTGATTATATATATATATATGTATATATTTAAATGATCAAATCCCCATCGGGTGGGCTATAACGGGGTCGTGTCGTAACGTTTCGGGCGATATAAGTTACATATATACAATAATGCCCTTACTCTGTTTCCGAATGACCCTCCTGCCCATTTCTCCCTCTTCGAACCCTAACGAGCGTCTGCCTGAACGCACACGATAGGGATCTGTTGATCTCTAATGGGTTCGTCTCCTCCCCCCTCCTCTTCTTCTTCCGCGGTGGAGGAGATTGTGAGAAGAGAAGTGCTGGACTGGGACGACGAGGTCGCGGCCACGGCGCGCTTCAAGGCATTCAGCGGGCAGCGATCGGATTGGGAACCCAGGTTTGTCTTCTGGAGGGATCTCATCCTCAAAGTGGCTCGCCATCTCGGAGTATGCACCGTTCGATCCTCCGAGGTTAGTGATTCTCACGAATTCGCTCGTCATCGTTTTTGGAATTCTTGTGCAAGTCGATGACTTTAACCAACTTTCTGGTCGGAATTATTGTCTGGCCAAACATGTCTGACGGTTCTTGATACGGTTTACGGGGCATGGATCTTGAAAAGGTTGGTCTGTCTCGTCGATTTGTCGATACGTTCTCTGATTTCGTGATGATTTGAGATGTTTATCGTTGACCATTTTTCCCAAAGTATCTTCTGTTAGTATAGCGACCGATCTCCGACTTGTAGGATAAGAATTGGTTTACACCTGCTTTTGGAATCATAACACACGAAAGAGTGGGGTATAGCTGTGCATTGATGTTATAAAAGCACGGAATGGTCGTTGTTCTTGCTTTCGTTAGGAGAGAAGATATAATTTAATGGTGTTGCACTTGCCTTTCTGTGCTCATGTGCATTTCTGAAGGGCATGATGAAGTTCCTCGAGTGTAAGACATGTTCTTAGTTAGTTTTTGTGATTATATGCACCTTTTTAATCTCTAAATCTCATGTCTTTGGTAGCTGTTAAGGGAAAAATTCGTTGACGTTTTGGTCATCCCAACGTGATTTCGGACCTGTTCGCCCAAGATTGTCTGAGGTGTCTCCGCTTCCAGTCCTTTGGATGCTCAAGTCAGTTAACCCGAGGTGTGTGAGTTCGAACGTGTGTGGTATAGAAAGATACAGTTACTACCTCTCCTTTCTTTGAGCTTTTATACCTGGTCACAAGGGGCAAGAAGGAAGTCTGTGATTGCCTTTCTGATTATAAATAACTGAAAGGAAGCTTGTGATTGCCTTTCTGATCATAAATGGCAAGAAGGAAGCTTCGTCTTCTCTTCCTTCTGTGAACATCATGTGGCGTTGACGTGTTAGATGATTAGCTGACAATATATCCCCTCTCAGTAGCTTATCGTCATATCAAAGGTGATAGCGTGAAAGGGCAAGAGCCAACCTATTTAGCCATCTAAACTTATTAATTGAAAGTTTCTACACTCTTTTAGAGTGTTAATGATATACTACCTCTGATTAACATGAGTTCTCCCAACTGAAGGTTTTGCAGGAATGAGGATGAGGTCATTCTCAAACCAAATTGGGATTTGTGATACTTCCAGCTTACTAATATATCCTCTTGCAAAACATGTGCCAAAACTCTAGGATAAGCTCCCATGTAATACTTATTTTATGCCTATGCACTTCTATTATAGGATAATATAATAATGGATCCTCTACGCTTGGTTAAATTAAATGCTACAACTGTAACTTATAGATCAAGGCAGCATCATCCCTTGTTATCTCATTTAGGAAACTTGATTTAGAGGATGCTTTCAACACCTTCTCAGCCTTTAGAAAAAGAGCTGTTGGAGTTCAGGATTTATGAGTACATTTCTATTCATCTGATGATCATCCCTACAGTTCTGTAATCTCCTTATCCAGAAGAAAGTGAGATGTCTATGTTATATATTGTCATATATGCATGGATGGTACAGTTCTGCTATACTATCAGCCATAATTTTCTTTTTAATAGTGACATGGTGTTCTTTTCCTTCTTTATAACTGCCAGTACTTCAATTCACTTGTGCAACTTCAGCAAAGGATGGATATTGATTACATGATTTATATAGAAAAATATAGTAATTCTTGTCTCTTGAAGGGTGTTATTAACGTATTATTTTCACATCATTAACTCATTCATGCCTTGGCAAATTTTTTGAAGCCTAAGCTAATAATAGTCATTTTTGGTCATGAAGCATATTTCATGAATGCTGACGCTTTCACTCAGTAGCTGATGATATCATCCTTACTATAGCTTGATTCAGCAAATGATTATTCTGTAAATAATCCTTAAGGACAATCTTCATTGTTTCAAGTTCATAATAGAGTTATAATTGTCTCTACTCTCATGTTCTGCTTTCTAGGTGAAGAATATATGGTTTTCCCGAGGTGGACTGACCCCATTGTGCCTTGACAGGGTTCTGGTGAGCTAAATCTATCTTTTTGTTTGGTCCATTTGAGAGCACTTATTCTATGTAAATATATCATTATGCTAACTACGACCCAAAAATGTGGTCAACTGCAACGATAATTGTTGAAGTTTGGCAGCTTGTTTCCTGTATAACATGACAGCATTCATCATATATGTGTCTAAACATATTTGATGTTATATATGTTTGCCAGCATTGATATCTCCAGAAGAGCCTCAGATTTTTTTTATTGCCAGTCAACCTCTTAGTTTTGCAAATATCGTTTCAATGTTTTCTTTCAGCAATATAAACTGCAAGTAGCATGCTTGTGATGATTCTTCCTCTTGAAAACACTAAGTGCTTTTTAGACAATCCTTTTACTAAGTGGGTGATTCTTTCTTTGTAGAAGTTGGAAGAGATCATTGTGAATTGGAAGGATCCTTAAGAACATCTGAAGCTTCAGGGTTCTGGTAGTGCCAAGTCTGTTGCTTTTCTTACATTAAAAATCATTAATGGATCTCAGAAAAATCAGTTTGATCATTGTCCTCTGATCATTTTCTTCAAACCTTGTACACCTTTTATTTTTACAATTTGCATTCATTTGGTGGTACTTTTTTGGACCAAGAACTGTGCCTACTTCCTCTACCTGCCTTTAGTGCAATATGATACGGAGACGAGAGTCCCGTGGCTCCACTGCAACCTTTACAATGAGTAGGGCTTCTGCCAGTCAGCATGAAGTCTGTGGCAACTTGGTACATACCATGTTGGGATATCACCTACAAATCCATGCTTGTGGTTGCATAAGGTTCTCCTCAAACCCCATTAGTTAGAATGATTCTAGGAGTACTTAATACCAAAGATATGCTGGTCATTCCCAATTGTTTTTGAATTTTCTATTCTTTTATAACTACTTGCTTTATATATGTCACATCCACACCTTGTCCCATCCAGTTATTCATTTCTAATTTTCTCCAAGATTTGGCAGCCACCTAAGTATGTTCTCATCCAGTTTTTGCCAACTTTGTTTCTGTTGATTTATGATTGTGCCGTATACTAGGATTTCTTTTGGCTAAGTTACAATTTATATATGCCTAGAGATATACTGGAAATCATATTCAGGTAAGCAGGATATTCCTGCTGCTAGTCACTTAAACTGATTGAAGAATTTTACTGGAAGCATTTGTATAAAATTTAAGAGAGAACTGTCAATGCTCTATAGTTGGAGAAAGTGTGGGTTACTTTAACTTTTAGAATGGACAGTTGATAAGAATCGATTAAATCCACAAGTGGAAGGAAGAGTGAACTGTTTACAAAGCCATGCCATGTTGATGGAGGCATCTTTCTGTTAAATACTTTGGTTATCTTAAGTCTGAAGCTAGAACTGCTTTTTTACTTACAGGAAGACTATGTTTGGTTCTGAACCTTGCCTGGATTTTGTCTTGTATATTAGGATATTCTCAGTTTTAGCTTTCTTACTCCAAATTTTCGGACCAATTCAGTCTTTGGTTATTTCTTTCAGCAAGAAATGTATAATAATGGTGATATTTTACTTCGAGGAGAGCTGATTGATCCATCTAGTGGGCATCTCTATCAGATGCTGAGAAGAGCAGGACAGCTAATTGGTGGATTTAGACGATCACCTAAAATAGGTGATTTTGAAGAGCATCTCATCCTTAAACCGCTACTTCAGGCAAGTTCCAAATCATAATTCCATGACATATTTTAATTCATGTGATATGTTTCCCTGATCTGTAAATTCTGTCCTGAAATCAGGAGAGTGCTTCTAATGTCATAAAAAATCTTGCTGAGAACCATTGGACTTCCACTTGTGTTATCACAATGAACAAGTTTCAGAGCATCTGCAAAAGATCAGGTGAAGCTTCTACAGTCTTAAGTTATCTATGTGGATGCGGAAAAGCACAATACCTATCAATCAGAAAGGAAGACATTATTGAGGTAAGCTGATCTGGCTATTATTTAGGTGGACACATTCTGTGATGGTTGACTCTATGATATCATGTCATATCACTTTTAATGTTCCTAGAACTGTACTATGCTACTTATCAAATTTCATGTTAATTTTACAGTTATATTTAGTATATGTACTTCGGTTGATGTCTTTAGGGTGTGAAAGTGTCCCTGGTGTCATCATCTTTAACAAGAATCTCAAGCCTGGACAATGATGTTCTGCATCTAGTTTGGACGACAGAAAAACTGCAGCAGCAACTCAATGTGATTGACAACCGTTGGAAGCTGTAATTATTCTCTGCCTCTAGCTGTTTTAATCAAGATATTTAATAGATAAAAACTGGTGCATACTTGACTTCTGTTTTTCATTCTTAATGTATTGAAAGAAAAAAATTGCTGAATGCAAATGTTGAGAGAATCGTATTTGCTATGCTGCTGTATTAGATTGCAAATATCTAAGAAAATGTGTTTAGTTTGACTGCAAACTTGATGCCATGATACTATTCAACACCTATCACATTTAGTCGCTTTGCAGCACTTCTCAGCTCATTCAATAAAACTTGTGTGCTGCCATTATCTGACAGCAAGAACCCATTGTTCATGCACTGTAACATAATATGCTTGTCTAGTGGCCATATTCAAATAATTGACGAACCTTAATTTGCGATTTAACTGCCTTGTTTCTGGTTTATTCACATCTAGTTTTGATTTAGTAGAAGTTAACAAGACTTTCACAAATAGAAGATCTAAATGCTTGCTAGGGGCTCATGTAGTACTATCATTTAAGTCATATCCTACATCATTGTAAGCAAGGATCGTAATTTTGTACCGTACCGAAGTTTCGAGCATAGCTCAATACGGTACGGAGGGTGTACCGCTCGGTGTGTGTGTGTGTGTGTGTATATATAAAGTAAAAAAAAAAGGCGACGTTGCCTCCTTTTTCTGCCCGTGTGGGGAGAAGAAATCGAGGTTTCCTTTTTCCCACGCAAAAAAGGGGAGAAGAAATGTCGCCTCGTCACCTCATTTCTTCTGCCCGCATAGGGAGAAGAAATGTCGCCTCGACGACGCTCCGTTTCTTCTCCCCGTGATGTCGTCGAGGCTTCTTCTCTCTCTTGCGGATGAGGAGAAGTCGCCAACGATGCCAAGGCCTCATCGCCTCATGCGAGGAGACGACATCTCATCTGCGGTGTCCGACGATAGAGGCGACAACGGATTGAGATCATTGAGGGAGAGCGATGCTTGATCTCCAGGTTCTCCATTTTCTTCTCCCTCTTCTTTCTTCTCCCTCGGCTAATACCACTCGATAGCGGGCAACGATGGTCGAAATCGACCGTCACCGATCGATTTAGGGTGGTAACAGGGCAAAAGCAGCCCTAATCGACAGTACCATCCGTTAGTGGGCGGTCTGCGTACCAGTCTACTAGAGGACCGTTACATACCGCCCGCTACGGGCGGTATTATTCGAAATTAAAATTCTTGATTGTAAGTCTCATATACTTGACCACCCTTTTCAAGAAATAAGCAATGATTTAAAAAGCGTTATGCGCCAAGGTCCAAAAACGCCCGAGGTGCTCGCCCGAGCGAAGTGAGACGCTAAAATATAAAAATATATAATATAATTAATAAATATAATTATTTAAAATTTTAAATAAAAATATGCTATTAAATTAAGGAAATCTAAGGTACAAAATCATAATGTCACATTAACAAAAAGTCTCAAAATTCAAAACAATAAAATTTTAAATCAAAGTCATTCATCATAATCAATATTATTGCCATTTTTATACAAATCATCTTCATTGAATTCGTCATCTTCCTCTTATCCTTCCTCTTCATCAAAATATGTTTCATTCTCTATGGCTTCAACAATAGCAGGAGCCGAGCTTGATGCTTTTGCACTCATTTTTTTTTTTGTTATATGTCTTGTATATATTTGTAATTCTCCAACACTTGAAGCTCTTGCCACATCTCCCCAAGTCAATCTATCATATTCAAATACAAGCTCGTCTTCGGCATTTTACAAGTTGGCACCCATTTCTGTCATCAACAACTCATTTGAATCATCAATATCTTGGAGATTGGATCAATTCTATTTTGTAAATCATGACGAGCCTTCAAGGCTTGATTATACTTTATGTAAACAAGATTATGTAATCGTTGATGTTCCAACCGATTTCTTCTCTTTGAGTGAATCTGTCATTTCATATAATTTAAAAATATATTAATACATATATCTAAATAAATAAATTAATTAAAATAAAAATATTTAGTGATCCTTACATGCTCAAAGACACATTAGTTTCGCTCACAACCCGAAGCACTACATGTCAAACTAAGTACTTTGATAGCAAATTATTGTAAGTTCGTGGTGGAATTTCCAAATAGACTCCACCATTCGGTTGCAAAATTTATGTTATTATTAGCAATAACATAGTAACATATTATAGATGAGATTCATTATATCAAATTATTAATACCTAGAGACGTAGTTGTCCCTGGATCGAATGACCATTAGAATTCCAAAAAGACTTTCGACATTTTTATATAAAGATAATTCAAGAATAATCTTATCTTGCACCTCAAGACTTGGAACTAATCTTGCAACGCACTAGTATAACCTATCCAAAACTTCTGCATCAAACCCAACGAATTTAATCTTATAAAATAATTTAGGGTTCAAATAATATCCTACTGTATGTAAGAGTTGACAATTCCATCTTTCGTCAATAATTGTAAAAAATTTCTCATATTTTTTTTAATTTTTATTAAAAGACCTTTTATCGTCTCATTTGCTCTATTTATAGCCTCATAAATATATCTTGTTGTAGGTTTATTTTCATTATCCACCAACCGAAGGACTCGAACAAGAGGGTCTATTATCTTTAATATATAAACTACATGATTCTAAAATGATGACATTAAGATAATATCAGTAGCCCTCTTGCCTTTTGCTTCTTTTGCCCATTTGCTTGTCACCCATTTCTAAGAGGTAAACATGTTTCTCAGATTATGTTTTTGACGATGCATGCTCTGTAATGTCAAGAATGAAGTAGCAAATCGGGTGACACCATATCTTACTAATTCTTTGTTCCCTGTGAATTCTCTTATCATATTCAAAGCGCCAATATGACTATAAAGAAATCCAACAACAAAAATTGTCCTTTCTAAGGTTTTTTTGATGTCTAAGATCTTTCCAATATCCTTCAACATTAAATCAATACAATGTGTCGCACATGAAGTCTAATATAAGTATTGTCTTTTTGTTTCAAGCAATTTACCTGAGACAAAGGATAATAAAAATGATAAGACTTAAGAGTTTAACACATTTAATTGAAGATAAAATAATTAAAAAAATTAAAAAAATTCAAAAGATGAATATTACCAGCTAATACATAGTTGCTTCCATTGTCGGTTATGATTTAAATGACATTTTGTTCTCCAATTTCTTCCACGAACTTATCAAGAAAATCATATATTGTCTTCAGATTTTATAAAAGATGAAGCATATATTGATTTCACAAACATAGTCCCTAAAGAACAGTTAACCATAAAATTAATTATACTCCTGCGCCTCCTGTCAGTCCAAACATCTGATATAATAGAGCAACCATGTGTTGCTCATGATTCTTTATGACCCTTTAGTAAGTCATTTGTATAATTCAACTCTTTTTGCAACAATGAAACTCACATCTCATAATAACTTGGAGGTTTTAATTCCGCACCATATCTTTCAATAGCTTCAATCATTTCCTTAAAACTGTCTAAACGAGTTGTACTAAGGGGAAGACCAACCTGATAGAAGAAGCGAGGAATGTGTTGAATTATTCTTCCTCTTATTTCTATATCACAAGCATCACTTGTATTTGTTTGTCTAAATTTTGAGCCTCCTGCTTGCCCTTGTTGCTTCTGTGATCCTTGAAACTTATATAGATCTATCAGTCCTTTTTTACCATTCTTAATACTTATAATTTCTTTTCCTTTTTTGTCGTATACTTTTTTCCCACTTGGGTTAATACTCATAGAATAATCTTCTTTTTCATCCCTAAGATGCTCAACATTGTCTTCTAGTAAATTCCCGTAAGATTCATTCTTTTGCGTCTTCTTTTCATTCATATAACTCAGCAACACTTCTTTTACCTCAAGTGGACACTTTTCGCAAGCTGTTGCATTCTTGAAATTTCCTACTAGATGTTGTTTTGCACGAAAAATACCACTTTTAGTAGTCTTATCGTAAAACATGTAAGTCACTGCATTAGGATCTTTTGGATCCTTTAGATAATTATACTTCGATGCAGGATCCATTTTTTATGCCATTGGAGACTCTATTGAGTTGCTTTGTACACTTGCCATTTATCCTGAAACCTAACAATAATTTCAAATAAATAAAAATTAACAGTATTAAAATTAAAATAATATATTATTAATCTAATAAATAATAATATTGTTACTAGTATACAGTTAACAGTATAATGTATACTGTTAACAGTATCCTATCGAAAGAGAAGAGAAGAGTGTAAGGGAAGACCGAGGGTGCTGATTGAGAAAAGCGGGAGCGGCAGCGGCAAGCGACAACAGTGGCAGCGATAGCAGCGGGAGCGACGACAGTGGCAATGACAGCGGTAGCAGGGAGCAGCAGCAACGATAGTGGCAGCAGCGAGCAGCGACAGTGGCAGCAGCGAGCAGCGAGCAGCGGGAGCGGGAGTAGAGAAAGTGGCAACGGTAGCAGCGAGTAGCGGCAGTGGGAACGACGACAGTGGCAGCGGGAGCGGCGATAGCGGCAGCGACAACGTGAACGGAGAGCAGGGTTAGGGTTGGGGAAATCACGCTGATATCGATGCTTTAGTTGGTTCGATTGAACCAACTAAAGCACCGGAGACTGAAGCAGACCTAAAGCGCGGGTTCGGTTGCTTGGTTTAACCCAGGCGCTCACCCGAAGCGCCCAGCGCCTGGGCTCGAGTGAGCGCTCAAGCGGTGCCTCTTTGAAACGTGTCGCCTGGAAATGAAGCGAGGCGCTCGGGCCTCGCCTCGCCTCGCCCGAGTGCATAGGCGAGCGCCTATTGAAATCACTGGAAATAAGAATACTATTTATATAATTTTTTTTGGCCTTTTGTTGTTAAAGAGTTAGGGGGTTACAGTTGAGGAACATGAGTCACAAAGTGCAAGTACTTTTTTATGAACAAAAAGGCATTTGTGGTTTTGAGTTCTCAAGCAAAATGACACAAAACAAGAGCAATACCAAAGAGGCCCTAAATTTACTTTTCAACCATTCAGAAAACTCTATACAGATCTTCACATTTGGATTGATGTGAATATATCCATCTTTACCATCTTTTGACCAGCATAGTAACCTGTACAAGATGATTGTATCATTAGATTTTATGTGCTTCTGCAGTTCTCGGAAAATGGCATTGACCTCCTTTAAGCTGGGGAATAAACAAGCTGCATTCAGATGCATACGGCAGTCCAAGATGTTGTCAGAAAGCAGGTCAAAGTACACATTGCTTTTGGACCTGGTGGAAAAGGTTCTCAGTAACATTGCTAATGCCGAATCTACAAAGAAGGTAGCTTACAATAGAAATGTGATTGATAATAGATCTTATCTCATAGTACTTGGGGTAAGTAGCACCCATGCATCTTGAACTCTGAGCTCTATTTGCTTAATATCAGGTTTATGAAGCCATCCAAATAGGCGTTCGAGCGATGAAGGAGTACGAGATCAGCATGGATGAAGTTAAAGACCACCTGGACGAGCTTGACAAACATGTTCAAGCACAAAAGGAAGTCGATGAATCCTTAGGTAACTTCTCACCACATCTATTGTCTGAGCTACTTCATGCATTTGTGCCAATGCAATGTGATCTGCTGGAAGAAACAATAGGCCAAATGAGAATGCCAGCCGGTACTGCAATTGTGTGCTACAAGAAGCAGCAAAGTTAAAAAAGTTCAAAAAGTACTCTACTTTGAAAGGATCATGGTGGCATATATAATCTGAATGCATTGCCCCATACAGAGAGTTACATTCCCGCTCCAGATATGCTATGAGTTTGATCGAGTAGCTTCTGATAGCAGCCAAAAATAGTTGCATGTGATTGATCCATTGCATACGTACCGAATTCTAACTGAATCATTTTGGTTTGCTTATTTGGTAATAATGTTTCCTTACAGAATCAATGCCCTTACAAGCATTGGATGTGGAGGAAGAAGACATCGAAGAAGAGTTCAAGAAGCTAGAACTCGAACTTTCTGGCGAGACGCATCATCCTCTGCTCCAGGAACCACTGGCTCCAGATGTGAAGGCAGCAACAAGCCCACAAGCGGCCGCCCAAACCTTGAGCCAGACCTTGTCTAAGCTCAACCTAGAGGCTGCTTAGTTCATGTGGCATCAGCTGTGTTCATGGCGCTCTTTCCATGTTTTCGAAAGAACAGCAGCACATGATTTTGAGGGTGAGATATGTATATATAAACATACTGTTCAATCGATCATTTGATTCTTCAGTTCAATATCTAAGTATAAAAATTATAATATATTATTATTATGTAAAAAAATTTAATGTTATAATCTAAAACCAAATAACATTAGATTTAAATTTATGATGTGTAATTTTAATATTATTTAGAAAATTTTTATCTTATTTATGAGTATATCATCGTTGGATCTAAAAGCTATAGTAATGTCGATATATAAGGAAAATTAGATTTTTTTTTCTTTCTTTTTTTTTCACAGGATTATTATGAACGATAGATTTAAGAATAAAGAGGATATGTGAGATAATTAATAATTTTTTATTAATTGATTTACTTGATTAAAGAGAAATAAGAGAAGAGATGTAATTTCTCACGTATTCATATATTCGTGAATTCGTGTATTGTGTGTATAGTCTAAATAAAGTTTTATTTATTTATAAACGAGAGTAAAAGGTCTAAAATATATAATTAGGACTCTTAGGAGAGTCCTTCGTATCAAAGTTATTTTCTAAGGAATTTTATCATAATCAGACTTTTTTTTATTGATCGATAATAATAATTTAATCATATCTAATTTTATCAAATTAGATAGGATACATAATATAATATTCATCCAGACCCATTAATTAGTTAGATATGAAAAGTTCAAAATCTAAAATAAATAAAAGAAAATTTATTTAAACATTATTTTATTCAATTTGATTTTGAATTTTGAAAATTAATTATATGCATGCGAATATAAAAAAATATTAATAAGTTAAATATATAGAATAATGCTATATTAAGTCTAATTAGCAAAGTGAGTTACAATTGTATATCGTTAATGCCATATTTTTTTCTATGTATCACAATAATATTAGTACTTCCTAATATAGTCCAAAATAATCCATGTAATTTATTTTGTTAAGATAATAATATTTAATCATAATATATAAATAAATAAACGGATACATGATAGAAAAATAAATCACCTTAAGTACATAAATAAGAATATCAAATATAAAATACATATAAAAAATACATCATTATATTTTTAATGAGTTGCTCATAAACATAATCATAAGAAAATATTATTACAAACGTTTTAGGCTATAACTCAAAATTAATAGATTAATAAATAATATAATGAAACTCAAATTATTGATTTATATTAGTTGTTTCTATACTTTTTTCTTTAAAAATAAAGTACTTATAATTGATAGAGAATAAAAAATAATGT